TAGCTATAGCAGGTGAAGCGCTCGCGCGGAATGGTGGGCGTGGAGAGAGAGGGCGCGCCGGAGGACTGAAGGTCGATGTTGGCCCCGGTATTGGGGCCGGGGAAGCTGTATCGAAGGCGGACCGAATGGGGTCGAAATTTTGACCACTGGTCCTAGTCGGTGGGGGAGGTGGTGGCTGGGATTGCGGCCGCGGCGGTCCTGCGGGTGCCATCGTCGGGTAAGATGACTGGTGACCAAGGGCCGCGGGCGGCGGCGTGGGATGAGACGAGGGTGGCAGTGAGGGGGACGGGTGCAATGGAGAACGATGTTGCTGGTGCAGGTGAGATTGGAGAAGGTGAATAGAGCCTGACGATGCTGGAGGGCTAGCAGCGGGGGTATTTGGAACTTGGACTGGAGCTGGAGCTGGAGCTGCAGCTGCAGCTGGGGCGGCGCTAGGAGCAGGGGCAGGAGTAGCGGTCGTCACAGTAGTCGTCGCTGGAATGGCAACAGCTGCAACTGCAGAAGCCGCCGATACACTAGGACTTTGATCCGGAGGCGTTGCTTCTAACTTGGGCTTCTTTCGAGCGTGAGTAGAAGAGGAATTGGACGGATTGACCGACGTGGATGACGACTTGTCCCTCTGGCGACGACTGCCGCGTTTCGACTCTTTCGGATCCTGGTCTTTATCCCTGCTCTCCTTATCCTGATGATTTTCTTTGTCTAATTCCTTGTCGTTCTGCCTGCCCGTCTCTGGTTCTTTTTCTTTCTCCTTTTCTTTAGTTTTTGACTTGGTGGGTTTGGGGGTGTCCTTTCGCCCAGCGTCCTGTCCCTCGTCCTTCTTGCGACGCGACCGTCTCGGGCGAGGTTCGCGGGGAGTTTGATCGATAGTGCGCGACTCGAAATCGTCCTGAGCCGTCCGTATGGCCGGCTCGGTGGACATGATGCAGAGAAGACTCAAAAGGATAGCATCGAGAGGAGACGTCTCACGGATGAAGCGAGCAGCGTAGTCGGAGAGTCTTCAAGCAAAGTTGGAGATCTAGTCAATAAATTAATATTCTTTCTTTTTTTTCCCCCTTCCCCTGCTCGATGTAGAAGAGATGAAGAATGAAAAGAGAATAACAAAAATAAATAGATAAAATAGATAAAATAAAATATAGAACACGGAATGCGAATCGGATGGAAATGTGATAGGGATATACGAAATAAAATGAAGGTGATGAGGGAAAAGGATGGGAGAGAGATGGGGATGGCGAAACACAAGAAAAAACGATGGAGGTTTTAGCAGCGTGGGAGAGGAAGAACACGAAAAGAAATGAGAGGAGAAAAGGGGAGAGAGATTCTGTCGTCCTTCTCGGGCAGAGACGAACGAATAAAGTCAAGAGATTCTCAATAGGGTAAGGGAAGGGGAGGGGGGAAAACAAGGGAAACGGCGAAAAGGAAAATCAAAGAGAAAATTCAATATATAGATCCATACCTGGAACTGATTTGGTTGTCACCAGATGGGAAAAGATGAAGGAGTTGAGAAGGATGGAAAGGAAGGAAGAAAGACGGAAATCATTCTGACCTGTTATGCACTTGGTCGGTCTGATGTTCCTCTGATTCGGGTTTTTTATTATTTATTTTTGAATTTTTTTACTATGATACGGGTGGCAGAATATCTCCCCAGAGCAAGAATCGACCCCAACTCTCCAAAGATAGGTCTTGATAGGCATCTCTCCCTCTCTCCCCCCCTCTCTTTCTGTATATATAGATTTATTTATATA